TTTTTTCAAAAAATTAAAATTAATGCTTTATTTATTTAAAAATAAATTTAAATATATCAAATAATAAATATGAATTAATTTATTAATTATTTTAAATAATTAAATTAAAAATAAAAATTTAGTACTAATTAAAAAAAAAAAAAAAAAAACACTTAACAGATGTAACCATAATCATAGCAATAGCACTTTAGATGGGGTCGGATAAAAATGTCACATGATGATCGTAATGATGATGATGATGGGTCATCAATCTCCGTCCATCTGTCAAATCAAAGAACAAATCCGATGATGATGATGGTCATGGATGTAATGTAGTAGTAACAATAGTGTTGCTGGGAGTAAACTCAGTAAAGTCCTTTTTTGTAAGTACATACACCCGTCCATATTTTACGATTCCCCATGTTTGGATACGTCGCTAAGAAGAGCCACGCGGCTGGATTTCATAGCCCCAGCCTTGGATTTGCTGAAGATTTTGTTCGGTCATTCACTTTCATCCAAGGATTTTTTTTTTTTTTTTTTGTTACATGAAAAATCTTGAGAAAGAGAAATTTTCTTTTAAATAATCTGTAAGAGTAAAATCCTTAACTAATAGATTCGATAAGTTAGGCCCCATCCAAGGGTGTTAATACTGCTTCATTATGTGTATCGAATTTGGTATTAAATATAAAATTTTTTATAGGTGTATGGTTCAAGTAATCATTGAATGAAACTGTCCGTTCCGATCTAATAGTATTGATTTTTGAAATTATTTATTTTTTATAAGTTGTATATTCGAATTTCACAAAAATCTTTTTTTTTTTTATCTTTGAATTAACTTGTTAATAATTACCATATGTTTAAAAAAACATAATTATTGAATGGGTTTCTACTGCATTATTAGAATTTGATTTCTTTTATCTCTATTTTTCCTTTCTTTACCTTCAATTCCCCTAGTTAAAAAATTTTTTTTTGTACATATCATTTTAAATTTATTGTTATAAATATCTATTTTTACATAAATTAAATATATAATTACAAAATAATATTTAGTGAGTATAAAAAATTTAATATCTAAAAAATTAACTTCTTAAAAATTAAAAACATATTCAAAATTAAATAGCCGTTCCGGCCCAATGACATTGGATCCTGAGTTAGAGCTGTTCACCTTCTATTGATTGCACGTTCAAATCGCACGAAAACCCTCTCTCTCATCCCCCAATTAACCTGTAAATAATTGTAATATGTTAAAAAAAACATATTTAAAATTAAAAAATTTTAAAATATTAACATTACAACATTAAAAGAAAATAGTATATCAGCATATTATATATTTTTAATAAAAATTTAAGAAATTAAATCCAATCACTTAAAGAAAAAGGGTAACCCCTTTGTTTTTTTTCAAAATTTTAATATAAGTAAATATATAAATTATTTTTAAATTTTTGATAATGATAAAAAAAATAATTAATATAAAATAAAAAATATATAAAATAAAGTGTGAATTTGAATTTTATCACATCCATTAAGAAGGTTGAATACTTGAATTGAACAATCAAATGCTTTTAAGTTAGGTGTCCTAATTTTCTTGTTTTCCATTTTGTTTCAAGAATTCTTGATTTTGTGATAGTAATTGCCTTGAATAGTAAATTATACTTATTAAATAAAAGAGAATTTATATTATTTGATAATTAATTTTTATACAATTAAATGCAAAAAAATATCTCTATTACTTCAAAATCGAGATTTTAAAATTTTTGATATATATAAAAAAAAAAAGAGAAATGCTTTTTGTATAATTTTTTTATCTAATTTTTTATATAACTTGATGTGTCATTAAAATGATTAGTTCTTTTAATTCATATTAAATGCATCTACTCATTCAATAACATGTAAAAATTGTATAAAAAAAAAACAAAAATGTTTTTCCTGCAGCACCACCCTAAAAAAAAATACTGTGCTCCCCTGTGGGATAGGATTCGCTTGAGATCTAAAATTTGTGTTTTGTGTTTTTTTTTTTGGAAAATAGGCAATGGTGTTTTGTGTGTTTGGATGCGAACAGAAGAAACGCCAGCCTATACCTCCTTTTTGGCATATGGTGTGGACCTGTAGGGCATGCAAGAGGGACAAGTGTGGGGATGGAATTGGATTGGGACATGTGAAGGAGGAGTTTGACGGAGGCAGGCCTGTGAAATCACATGGGGACGAATGGGGAGTTGTTTGTATGTGTCATGCTTGCTGGGTGCCCTGTTTTTACATGCGCTCTGCTTGTGCAAAAAACCATAGCTGTACGCCATACTCGTAACTCATGCTTTTGTTTTTTTGTCTCGTCCAAATCACATGCAAACAACTCAACAATGGTGTCAATGGACTCGTGTTTTTAAACCTTTATATATAGACGGTTGAATGAAAGACGAACTTACTGATATCAGTGGTTATTATTAATTTTTTTTTGTGTAATAATTTTTATTTTATAATTTAAAGAAATTTAGTTTGATCATATAAAATAAAAAATAAAAAACTTTTAAAATTTTCTCTTTCTTTTTTCAGGAAACTCAGTTTGACTTTGATCTGTGCTTCAAAAACTAGCATTATATCATTATTATTCATCTGAAGAAAGTTTGGTAGTATTTAATCGGATTTGACTTTCAGAAGAATTTCTTTTTTTTTTTATTTAAATTTTTAATATTTTAAAATTACATTGAATTTTAATTAATTTAAAATTAAAATAAATCAAATTTTATAAAAAAATTCTCTCACAACTTATTTTTTCATTTATAAAATTTAAAATTAAAATTTTATTTAAAGTAAAATAAACTCTTTTCATGTAAATCAATATGTTATTAATTAGAATAATTTTTTTTATTGCCGAAGATTTAAAGTATACTAAACATAATTTCGTTAGAATATTCTTTCTGTCAAGCACTAGTGGAAACAAGGGGCCTGAGGAGCACAGGTCCCCCCACCCCCCCTAAACTTTTAAAAAATAAAAATTTTGGTAATTTAAGTTATTTTTATTATTTTAGTTCTTTTTTATTTCATGTATTTTAATTATATTTAAATCTTTTTCTTAAGACTAGTTTTATTGATTATAAGAAAAATGAGGAAAATAAAAGTATAATATAATATAATATAAATAAAGAATAATATCATTCTTTTATAAAATAATTATTTATTAATATCTTTTTTTGTTCATTAATACCTCAACTTTTTTTTTTGTTTATTAGTGTTCCTTTATTTAATAAATGTTTATTTTATTTTTCAATTAATATCAATTTATTTAATACCATACCATTAATTAATATTAGTTTATCAATAAAAACTAACAAATCTTAATTTAAAATAATTTTTTATTAAATTTTTTCTTTTCATCAACTCTTTTATTAATGCAAAGATGTATGTCTTTTTTTTTCAAAAATTCATTTGACCCCCTTAAAAAAATTTTCTAGTTACGCCACTGTCGTCAAGTAAAGAAAAAATCTCAAATATGTCTCAATCACAGCTATTATCATGTAAAATTAAGAGATTCTTTTGCAACTAAATTGTTTTTTCGAATCAAATACCAATCCAAAAAAAGATTCCGAAACTTTTTTACAAGTCAAACGTAAAACATAAGAAAAAAAAGAGTTAACCAAACAAAAATTTTGCGTAACATTCAAAAAACATTTAATGGTGATGAATTATGAATGTACTATATACATAATCCAATGAAATTATTTGTAGGGGACTTTCAGTGATGTGGATGGTTGTTTTGGATTTCTCTTAATTGACCATCTATCTATCTTTCTCATGGCCTTTCCTACAAACTTGACCCCTGTTTTGGGGAGAAAAATCGGGGAGTATTTTGAGGGAAAAGGTGAAATATGAACCTACATGAGTATGAGGAGGAAAAAGAGTAAGCGGGAGCGGGAGCAGAGGCAGTCAAGACAGAGATGTAGAGGAGGAGGAAAAGGGTGAGTTACCAAACACCAATCATGATTAACATGACAGAAGTTTCACTTTTGCTGACTTTTTCTTAGGTCAGGCCCCTTAAATTTTGACCAAAGAGTTGGGTAAATCAAAAGTTCGGGTGGGCCATTCTCTTTTACAATTGCTTTCCCACAAGCCATCCATGTCAAAGCCAGAGAAACTGTCTGATTTGGAGATTTAGAATAGTGTGAGGCTCTGAGGTTATCTGCCGGTGCATGTGGAGGAGTTGTTGTTGTTGTTGGTTTTTTATTTTTTTATTTTTGGATTGAAAAAATGATTAAAAGTTACAAGTTAGTACTTATTTATGGCAACGTTCGATCACTAATTAAATGTGCAATTCATTGGTAGTCTTGTTGGGTTG